ATGAGCATTTTCTGATATTTTGGCATCTGGAAGGTATTCTAGTTTTGCAAATTAATTTGAGAAGTGTTTTAGAACAGAAATATGCAACAACACAGATGATTTTTTTTCCAAAAGAGAATCACATTTATTGTGATTATTGATAACATGAAATATTGTTGTCCCAGTTATAATACAGACTGGGACAGTCATTTCAAGAGTTACAATGGAACCAAAATGCAACAAAGGTGATCTAGGATTAGCCATGTTTTACATTGTCAGGTCCTAATGAGGCCTGGCTAAATCTAGATCTTACATTTTTGGGAATATGTTCCTCTTCTATGTGCATTCTTACTCAAATGCACCAACCTTATAAAAAACAAATAAAAGCAAATATATCATTGAATTGAATGCAAATTGCTTATATTTATTTTGAGTGGGTTTCCTGCCCCACACAAGATCACTATGCCAGAAATGGCATCACATGACAAGACTTTCCCAAGCTTACAAAGGTTTTATCCATCTCTCATTTAATACAGTTTCAGTCTTATTTGGGAAAATTATTAGGGGGCTGTCATTAGGGCTGTCATATGATCCATTTGCCATCAGCAAACTGCATTTATGAGAGAGAGAGAGAGAGAGAGAGAGAGAGAGAGAGAGAGAGAGAGAGAGAGAGAGAGAGGGAGGGAGGGAGGGAGGGAGGGAGGGAGGGAGAATAACAATTGACATAGTTTTCTGAAGGGGGTTATAAATTCAATGGATTTTGTGGACATCATCATTAGTTAGCTATAAACAGGCATTATGGGAACTACATGATTAAACAAATAGCAAAGTTTCTTATTCTTTGTCTCCCATTTTAAGTATCTTAAAGTGCTTTGTAATACACCGTCTTATTGTGAACTTCCATAACTTTGCAAATGACACCAATTTTGTGGAAAACAAACAAGAAGATGTGAAATTTTTGTTAATTATTACTAGGAGAGGATACACACCTCCTGTAATGTCTCCTTTGAGTCACTCTGTAAACTATAAAACATGCCAAAATTTTCCATCAGATACTAAAACCATCCTCCACATGATCGGATTGCACTTAGTCCTATCTCTTTATCGTTTTTTAGTAGAATCACATATTAATAACAAGAAAAACAAAATGATGTCATAATGTATGAATGAGTGTGACACCTGATTGATAGTAATTATAAATCTATGATTATGTCTATAGACGTATCTATTTCTGTGTGGAACAATAACTAGAAAAATATTATACTGTCAATAACACTGGAAAGATACAGTCATTCATGGCTTTGTTTTCTGGCTTATCTCCATAGACTGAATAACAAAAACATCTCTGGATATTTTCCCTTCCACATGATGAGCTACATAGGGCTTGCATGTCAATTCCAACATACAGTTGCCACCTTCTGGAAATTTGTGTTGTTTATGAAGTTGGCCTTTAATAATAAAAGGTGTACTAGGAGACAGATTTTACTGTCAAGATGCCACAGTTCATGCAATGCCAATAGTTATTTATTAGCAATAGTTATTTGGAATTGGCCCCCAGTCTGCTTAATACAGTTGTACAAAAAAGCAAAGCAAAAGCTTCTAGTGTTCCAGAAAAGGACATTTAAAATAGTATTAAGAAGTGAAGGAGCATTGCAGAAGACAAACTGTACACCGAGAAATGGATATGGTGCTTACCTTCAAGTCACATCTCTCCATCCATAAAGAAAAATAAAGGTATGTAAGGAATCTCAGACTAATTCTGCAAGTTTTTTTTTCTATAGTAGGTATGTGCATATCTCTGGAATGCCTCTGTGACTCATGGACACAGCTGCATCTTCCAAAAAGTTTTGTATTATTGCTTCAAAGGCTTTCCTAGAATGGTTCCACTTGAGAGAGCACACACAGCCATTTTGCTTAATTGGCAGTCCTGCAAAAATGGCTGTTCTTTCATGGGCAAAAGAAACGGTTTGAAGCAGCCACACATTCTTATATTTATTGAGAGTCCTCTGAGTAGCCCTCCAAATGTTTGGAGAAGCCTAAGTATAATGTATCTAACTTGAAATGAGAACATTAACTACATCCAGATATGGAGCTCTATTGTTCATTGTTTAAACACATCCATCTGGAATTCTCTGAAGAACATGGAGAAAATATTCATATTACATGTTTTATTTAATGGTATATACTTATTTATTTTTATCTATTTCATTCTAAGTCTACGCTCACATGTGAAATCAGCAGGGACATATTGAATAAATACAATTACTAAGCCATGTTGATATTAAAGATTATTACTGTTATTGTTGATTGTCATTTTATTTTTGTACATCATTCACCCAGAATTTCACTGTTGCAGATGGGTGAGCACATGAGTTTTAATAAATAAATAAACAAGAACTATGAAGACTTTTGGAAGGGCTGCTTCACTCACATGATTTTTCCCCAGACTTTTTAAATTGGCCTTTAATTTTACTTTAGTTTATATCGTTTACATTTTTGAATGACCATCATGTTGCTACCTAAATGATATGGTGTTTTAATTTTGTACTTTATTTTATTATTTTAATTTATTTGTTTTCTCATTTTTTTCAGATAGTATTTTTAATGTATTGGATTGAGAAAGATTTGACTTTTGGATGGTTTACAATTTAAATAAATATTTTTTAATAATGATTTGAGAATTACCCTTTCAAAACACCTCCATGAAACAAAGGGATACACTATCTTGTAATGAATGGAATAGATGTAAGACTTGTCTATTAAACAATAGCAGCAGATGCACTGCCTTGACAAAGTATTGTGTTTGTATTTCACACAGACCTATGGAAAATCAGTCAGGTGTGCTGACTTAGGTTCACTAGAACAGAGGTCCCCAACCCCTGGTCCATGGATTAGTACCGAGCCGCAGCATGCCAGCAACCGGTCCACACTAACAAACAAAGCCCCATCTGCAAGATGTACTCTCTGGTCCATGGAAAAAAACCTCTCTCCATGGAACCGGTCCCTGGTGCCCAAAAGGTTGGGGATCTCTGCACTAGAAGAAAGATAAGACTATGACAGGGAATTAGATCAACAGAAATGGCAAGGTGCAATCAATGCATGCCCAGTGTCTGCAACAGCTATTCTAACACTTTGAAAGGTAAAAATTTAACATCTTTGTTGGCATGCATAGTTCTGCAGACATACCAAAGGCAATAGATATATTGACACCTCAATGGTAGATATCACAGCCAGTAGGGTATCATTGGCCAATCATTACTGCAGCAATTGGTGAAAGGTTTGACCCTTGTCTTTAACCACCCTTCAAAACTAACTCCTGGCTTTATACTCCACTTTTCCTAGCCAGGCCAGCAGACGACCTGGCCACCATAAATGGGAGCACTCTCAAAATTTGATCCAGGCTTTGCTTCAAGTCAGCATAAGTTTTGCTCTAAGTTTTCCTCCTTGCCTTCCCCTAAGTAACCTCACTGTGGGTTAATGGAGGCAGTTTGAGATCCTCCATCTTGATATTACATTGTATTAACCTCCATCTTGATATTACATTGTAATTACTATGAGTAGGCATCAGATTTAGATGAATTATGAATCCCAAACTGAATTAGGCTTTCACATAGAATCAGGAGTTGCTCAAATTATAGTAGAGCTTCTCCAAAGCAGACTGAAGATGAATTTGAAACTTTTCAAGCTTTAATAGCGATTCACAGATTGAAGGTGGACAGAGAGAAAGAAAAAGAAACAAATATAGAATGTATGTCTGCAGAAAAGGAAAAAAAAACATTTCTCTCTATATAATGAAAATTCCAGGATGGGAAAAGTGTTTGCCTGCACATATCCTTAATGTTAGGTGCATGCTTATGCCTCATTATCAACATAAAAGCTTTCATATGACTGATAAATTTTGAAACTCCATTCTCTCTTATAAATCGTTGCAAACTAAATACTAGCAACATTGGATCATGTCAGCACTGTATAGCTGGCTTTATGGCAACCAAATTTAAGACTCATTCTCCACCTTAATTCTTCCATATGTAACAGGACCTATAATGCCAATATAACTCAAGCAAAGTCCCCAGGGTGGAAAGAATTCAGGTTTGCCCCTATCCTTTCTGTGCAAAAGTTAACCTAGTTTGGCACAGGCAACTGGAAAAGCAAATGACAAAGATTGTGTAAGAGGCAGAGTTTCCATCAAGATATCATAACATAAGTTACTCTGATAGACTCTCAGCTTACTGCAGATTCTTCTCTGCATTGGATTAGGTCTACTGAGACTTGGAGAATGAGTCTACCAAATTAGGACCAGTTGCAGATCATCTTCTAGAGTCTAAGATCTTGATGGCTCCTTTTGTAATAGAGAATTGTGATTAAATAGACGCTGGCCATGAGTTCTGGGATTTGCATTCTCCAAAGACCTGGAGGAAACCAACATGGAAAAGGCTTACCAAAAGTATTCTTCAGTCCGGCAACTCTTCCTAAAGCAGCGGTTCTCAACCTGTGGGTCGCAACCCCATTTGGAGTCAAATGACCATTTCACAGGGGTTGCCAAACAACGCAGTCCGCCATTTTTTCCCCTTTTCCTTAGCTGTGCTACTCCCTTTTATTCTATTGGCTTTTGAAAGCCAATAGAATAGACTCTCTTGAATAGAGTCTAATTCTATTGGCTTTCAAAAGCCAATAGGAATTGTCCAGGCTGTCTCTGTCCTGCATCCCGCCAAAAGTCTCATTCTGCAAACAGTGCTGCAAGTTGTCTGCAGCGAAGGCGAGCTGTCTGGAAGCTTCCACCCCCCACCCCCCGCTGAGCAACTACTAAAAATGTAAGTAAAAGAGGGCCAGAGGTGGGAGGCTGGTGGGCGCAGGGAGGGTTGCAGGCACGCGTGGGGCCCGGCGGGTGCCTTATCTCCCTTGGGCTGGGCCAGCTGGTAGCCCAGCTTGTGGTCGGCCTGCTCTGTCTCTGCCAGCTATGTCTCGGCCAGCGCAGGGGGTGGCACCACGCATGCGCGGTGTTCCCGGGCAGGGAAAGTCCTCAACTTACGACCAGTTGGATAGTCCTCAACTTACGACCGGTTGGGTAGTCCTCGACTTACGACCAATTGGGGTCGCGGCATTAAAAAGGTTGAGAACCACTGTTCTAAAGGCAGTATTCAAGCTACAATTTTAAGCAACATTCTGAATAATCTTCTCAAGTCAATAATCTCAAATGTGTACCTCATAGAAGAGTAAGATAGATAGGGAAGGCTATGCTAGAGAAGCTTAGAGTACTGTATATATCTTTTCATTTGATGTATGTTGATTTTCTGTCAGCTCATAGATTCTGCTTAGTTTCTTGTATCCAAGATAAGTCTCAACATGTGACAGTACCTGGTTAATCTCTGGCCTTGTTCAGAACTTGAATGGGGCAGTTCCAGAAAGTACTTGGCTATAGTCTAGACAGGGACATTGAAAAAATATTCCAGAAGGATGACAGTAACAAACTACTTGCTTACAATTGCCCAAAAATATTAAAGGGATCTGTTCATTGAGTTTTAAGTCAAACTTAACTTGAAGGAAATTTAGCCAAATTTACCTTTTAGCCAATGTAAAAAAGCTACAGATTAATGTAAATAAACAAGCAGAAAATGTTATGGATATATTTCCCATGATCATGATCTGGCATCTTGAATCATTTTTGTACCAAAGTTTGTCAATATTAGACCAAAAATAGCTAGTCTATTGTAGTCAATTGTACCATTAAAAAAGAAACCAAGATATCTCACCAGAGAGGTCACTAAAGTGACTATGAGGTGCATTTTTTGTTCTGCAATTTTGGGACACTCGTAGGTTACCACCAAGCCTAAGGTCTGAAATGAATCTATGAATTTCTCACTCTAGAATCTGAGTAAAACTCACAAATATTCTGAGAGACATTTATCAGTTTCCTATCACCTGATCTGTTTCTTTGTGCCCTATATTTACACCTTCATATTTATAAACAGATAATAAAATCACTTCTTCTGCATGATTCTTTCTATAGTAGACTTAATATATATCCAAAGAACACAGGAAGGAAATGGGTTCAGAAGAAGCAATGATGTAATAATGCAATCTTGGACAGTATATAAAGCGAGAATTCATTATATGGCTTTGCAATGAGCATTCCAGATCCTTTTACACAGAGTTGATTTAATCCAGAATGGTGAAAATTTAGCACAAAGAGACAGATGCTGGTTTACTGATGTGCAACAGAGCATCTGAAAGAAGAATATAGAGCATGAAAATGGAAACACAAGAGTTTCATGGCAAGTGTTAGAGGAAGATAAATGTTTGACTGGATTATGAATATTTGTGTTATTTTGTTTCTTCCCTCACATTTTGTGTTGCTGTTATTTATTCAAATAGATTCTACAAAAGGAACATGGGAAACATTCATGCTACTTAGGAAGAGCAGTGAGAATACATCTCCTTGGCCTATGGATTTTCCAGGCCTTTGAGTCTCCTCCTTTATCCCTACAAGCTGACATGTGGGAACAGTTCCGTGGCAAGTTTCCGTAGCCCTTAGAAACATGTGGCTTCTTCTCAGAGTTTGCCGGAGAATGAGAGACTGGTGGTTCCATTTGCTTCTTCCTCACACGACACCTCAAGAGTACCTCAGGTGCAGCTTTATCATTTCCTAGAGTTTTTCTCTTGCACACCACAGAGATCACACGGCAGTCTCTAGATCCTCGTGGGGCACTACTGGGTAATTCTGATGACTCTCCAAGTAGGAGGCTAAATCTGGATCCCCAGCCTGCTGGGCCCTATCTCGAGGTGTCTTACCCTATAATGGTAAGGCAGAAAAAAAGAAAGAGAAACATTCAGCAATAGAAAGGGGAAACCAACACGTACAGCACGTTGAGCATGAGGATTCATTTCCTTATTCCTTTTTTGACTGAATACGAATTCACTTTTTAAATTCACTTGTAAATACAGTTATATTTAGCATTTGACAATTCTGTTGACTTGTTCTAGTGGGCCACCATATAGAACACTCCAATGAGATTGGATTTGATGAGTGCTAAGTGTGAAGTCCTGTTTTAAATCAACACTTAAACCAACCAATCTTTGAATGCTACAACCTAACAATATTTTCTTGGAATCCTAAATTGATTAGTTACAAGAACTATGCAGTGGCCTCCAATTTAAAATAAAAACATCTTCATCAGTATAGGCACTACATGAAATCCCATTATTCAAGACATAAATGGCATTTCAAGATCATAACTCTTTTAAAGTGCTGATTTACTAGCTGGTTATATTGCTCATACACTATGGTTTTACATTACATATATTCTTGTAGATTTCATAGTTTTGGCTACTGTTAAAAGCCAACTTGAAATTGTCAATAGTAAGTGACAAATGATAGATAAATAAAATCAGCAGGGCTTCCATCCAAGCAAACTCGGTGAAAGTGTGCTGAAAAACAAGCAAGCACAGAGGCTCTCAACATATTAGCAAAGTCATTGCCCAAGTTGGCTACATATTGACTTTACTTGCACACAGAATTATTGAAATGGATTTGTTTGGTTTGATTTGGTTACCTTGGAGTCCATTTTCCCCAACGATGCCCCTGCCTCTACCAGCATCTGGCAGATGCCACGGTGACATTGGCAGGCTGCCTTGTGCAATGCTGTCTCACCCCTGGGTGTTTAATGGAAAAAAACTATCAATATAATGAATTACATTCAACAGGACATAATTTGTAGGATTGCTGACACAAATACATTTTCTTAATTTGTCCTCTACATCTTTGGTACAGCAGAATATGGTTTTAAGAGTGCTCAAACTTTCATTTTAGTTTTGTTTTGTTTTATTGCTATGCTTAAAGCAACGTACTGAATATTAAGTTGTTACCTACACTGAAGTCCAATTTTAAATCACTTACATGATGGCTTTTTTCCCTTATACCCCTGCCCATTTGGATGAATTCCCTTGCAGAGTAAATTTCCTTCTCTTTCATTCCCATGTTTCTTCCAAAATCTGAACAATAAAATTCTTTGGCTTCAAACAGCAGAGTATGCTTGCATGTGTATGTTTTAAAAACCTTTAAAACAGACATCAATATTTATGTTGTATATTCCTCTAGATTTTGGAACTGAATATTATGTCATCTCTGAAGATGTATACACTATAAAAGCTGGGCGTTAATGTTTAAACAAATATGAAGAAGTTTTATTCCATTTTTTTGCTTGGGCTCAAACCAAAGGATTTAGCAGAGATTGCAAGTGCAAGCTGTGATTCTCACAGGCTGCCTAATGATGGATCTTTATATTCTTATTGTAGTAGCTACAGAAGGAACAAAGGAAAGAAATTAATTCTATCCAGAAGCTAAGAGATGGAAATATAGATTAACTGGATCCCAACAACAGCTAGATTTGGGGAATTTCTATTTTCTTACAGCACCATTAAATTGTCACTAATCTGGTTATTCCTTTCAAATGCTTTTAGACTAGCATTATGCCAATCTGTTTCCCTTTCCTTTAATTTGTCCAATTTGAAATTAGGAAATATTAGTGAAAGGTGATAGCTTAGAGGTATCTAAAGCCTTGTATAGATTTTTTGACTTTTTACTTAATGGTGGCCCCCAGTTCATATACTGTTTCACAGTAATGTATGAGCCCTTTTTTCCCCAGCTTCTTCTGGGTAACAATCTCCCAATAGCACCATATTGGTAATTGATCAATAGGGCAGAGTCAAATGATCATTCTGAGGCACAATAAGTTGAATGGAAGGAACCAAAGAGACCCTTACAAAGGAGTACACCAACTTGAACAATTTTTAAACTGAAATTTAAATCCAAATCTTTTTCCTCAATATAAGCCATTCTCTTTATTTGTCCCCAAGAATTTCTACAAAATTGTTTTTAGTCCCTATGGGGGATGGGAAGAAGCCCATATTTTGCATAAAAGAGTAAAACATGGATTTGACCCAGTACTTTCACCACTACTGGTCATGTTGGCTAGAACTGAAAGGTTTTTTTTCCTTTCTCTTTTATATTTAGAATTAGAGGGAAAACAAAAACAAAAAACGTAATCTGTAGTGAATTTTCATGTCTCTAATAATGTCCTCAAAGTAATCATTTTGGATTTGATAGACAGGACTGTAATACTTGGGTGGGAGAGAAGGGGGTTCAGGAGACAACTATGGATTTCAGAATGTCATGAGTTTTAAAAGGAATACAATATATTCTTGAAATAGGAATGGATAGGCTGACATTGCGTAAATCAACACATTAAATTGTTATTTTATGCTGAACTTCCGGTTAGGCATTGTGGCATAATGGATTTGATTTCGCTCCGCTGGGGACCCTAAAAAGGGTCAAAAGTCACCCCAGAGAGGTGAAGAAGGAGGGGATCCTCATCAATCATGGAGGGGTGGTGGCCCTTCCATTGGATCCAAGGAAGCTCTCCAAACTGGTGGGGGAAAGACTGGCTACATTCGTGTCACCAGTCAGAAGCTGCTGACAACTGAAGATAAGCACTAACTAGCAATTTTTGAGCAACATGGATGGAACTGGGTGAGACTTTATCCTCTTTTTATGACCTTACTTTCCTGGAAAAAAGAATGCCCAAAGCAAAGAATCCTCCCTGATAAGAGAGGGAAGGGAAGTTTTTGCCCCACTCCCTCAGGAAAAGAAAAGCGGTGAATTAATTGCTTTGGGAGAAAATAGAGGAAACTTTAAGATCAATTTGGAATTAATACAGATATATAGCTTTGAAATTTGGGGACTAAAAGTACCTTTGAGACCTTTTTTTAGAAAGGATACTTGAAAGTCTGTAAAATAGGCTTGGATTCAGAAAGCTGGAAGATGGTATCCATGACATCTAGTGGTGAATCATAGCACTACAATTTATTATGCTTAAAGGAAACTTGGCTTGAAGCCCAGACTTAGATAAGACTCTTTGTTGTTCCTGGAAATTTTCATTTATATAGACTAAACCGGGGAAAAGGGGAAAAAACCCTCTTGGGCTGCTTATCTGTGTTGGGGACCCTATTAGACTTTAAAGACTACATACAAAAACAAAATGGGTGTTCCATACTTAGCTGCAAATGGTAAAAAAACCATTTTTAACACATGTGTCCAAAGCCCTCAGCTTGATATACCAGCAAGAACATGTTAATGAATCTCAGAAAGAAATTCTTTCTATGTTAAAATCAATCAATAAAACAATTGTTTTATTTCAGGATGAGACTAAAAATAACACAAACCCAGACAATGACTACAAAGAAGGAACTAGTAACCCAGAAACAGAAGGGAAATTAGAAGAAACGGATCCAAAGATGGAGGACCTAAAGGAAGGAATTAAAGACAGATACAGACAAATAAAAAATTAGAAGATGCAGTGATAACACCAGAAATGGAAAAGATATCTTACTTGTCAAGACCTCAGAACACATTTGAGGATAAGGAAGAAGAGCTGATGGAACAGATGTAAAGCTGTTAGGAGAAATGCTGAATATTGACAAACAAGAAATGAAAAGAAAAACTGAAGGAGAAGGACGCATGCTGTTTAATGAATATAAATGGGTTGAGCGTTCTTCCCAAAATACTTCAGTCAAATTCTCTTCCTCATTCCAAACAATATATACAAAAACAGAGGAAGAATTACTTGATGATTCAAATGCATTGACTTGGAAAGTTATTTGGCAAAGGAAGAAAGTTAGAGTAAGACTGAAGAAAATAGAGGTTTTGACCTATTAGATGGGATATTATACTATTAAACAGATGTTTGAATATGGTTAAGAAAATAGATAACTGTTAGAAATAAAAGTATTATTATAATTAGAAGGATAGGATTTGTAACTAGAATATTATACTTTGTTATGAGATGGGAAATATGAAAATTTTAAAAGGGTTTGAATAAGGGAAGCTTTTGGTTATCCAAATATAGTTTATTATGAGAAAATTATAAGCGATAGAGCTATTTTGAACATTGATGGGAAATTAACATTTTTAAAAAGCGGGGAAAACAGGATATTGATTGAACAAATGGATTTTAAGTGCAAATACAATTGAGATATGTTCTGGCTAGAAAAGATATTATAAACTGACACTATCAATATTATGTGTAACACTAGAAAAATGTGATGAAGATGTCTATATTTAACTGTATATTTTTAACAGTAACAAGAATTGTATTTGCCCAGTGTGAAAAAATACATACCACTGGAAGAAAAGAGGACCAAGGAAGCACTGGATGGTGTATTATTAGAAGTAGACTGAGAAAATTAATATGTACCACTGAATTACCAATAGACCCAGAAAACACATTGTTTATTAAGTAGTCATGATTGTAAAATTAGAAAATTAATAAAATATTTATAAAAAAATTGTTATTTTATGCTTAATCTTATATGACATTGTTTTGATTTTCTATGCAACTAAAAGTAAGCTGAAGTGAATATATGAGAAGAGAAGCTGAGTGAGCAAGACTTACGTTTCACTATCTGTCATATCCAGTAACTCAGAAGGACCTACAAAAGAAAGTAAAACAGATGATGCTCTTGTTTCCTACTGGATGTTGAAGTCTGTTCCCCATCCTGCTCTCCCAGAAGTTTTCTTCCTCTTGGAAGACTCTTGTTTTGTTTTTGTATTTAGCTTATCCTCAGAGTACTTTAATGTTTCCTTCAGGGTGCTTTTGGAGCCTACCTTATTACTGGGGATGGGTGAGGATGCAATAGTTAATGTTTTTCTTTACAAGTTCTATAATCATTCTTAGTTGCTGGTACTTCTCAATCTTGAAAAGCCCTCTTGAGATTGAATTAAATTATGGGAGGTAGCAGAATTATGGAAAGATGATGATATAAGGAAACAAGATATTCACTCACAATAAGCTATATCGCTCATATCAACCAAACGATTTTTCTTCTCCTTCTGGAAAGAAGGGGGAGCAAATAATTTCTCCAAGCTGAGTAAATTTAGAAACTGGATAAGATATTTTTACCCCATCACCCTTCAGAGGCAAAAGGAAGGATTTCATTCCCTTTCTCACCCAGTGAAAGTTGTGTCTCAATCTTGCTTTAGGCCAGGGTTCCCCAAAATGGTCAATATCAACTCCCAAGGGTTAATGGGAGTATCCATTGTTGTTATTGTTATTACTAGTAGCAGTTGCAGCAGCAATATTATTATTAAAGTAGTATTTATTAAATTATTTTCATATAAAAATGTTTGGGGTTGATGGACAATCTGAAACTTCATGCAGGTATGGGGGGTCTTTGCTTTAGACTATTGACAGAGAACAAAGGTGAACAGGCCCCTTTCCCAATATATCCTTGTAGAAAGAATGTGATATGAGAAGTAACTGTAGAGAGGAGATAACTTATGGGTGAGAAATGTACTTTGCATGCTGCAGTTCCTGGTACAACATCTCCAGTTGGAGAACCAGTTAAAAGATTCAGGAAAATCTACTGCCTGAGATCTGGTAGATTTGATTCCAGCTAGAATAACAATGAAGAAAATATATCTATTGTTTGCTAAGACCCAACATTGACTTAATAGCATACAATTAAGCAAGAGTAGCAAAAAAAAAAAAAACCACCTTTTATTTCCTTGCAGATCCCTGAGTTTGGTAATAAGGAAGCAGCAAATAATTTATAACAAGAATAACAATAAATAAATAAACATTACTATGTTCTTTATAAACTCCTGAAGGTCTTAAACACTGAACAGCCGGTGATAGTCTAAAGATTAAGAGAAAATTAGAGTGGAGCCAAAAAGAAAGTAAAGTAGGAAGAGGTTAATTGTGAACTATGAGATTTTATTCAACATTATGGGCCTCCAAATAAATTCCCCCTTCTAACTTTCTGTCCCTCAGAGCTGCTATTTGCTGCCAGCTAATGATTCCAAATCCCCCTCCGGTGCAGAACAATAGTTACACAGATGTGGGAAAGGTTGGCACTGGAAAAGCAAATGCTACTGTCCTTCTGCCACAGCAGGGAGCTGGCTGTCTTAGCAAGGGACAGTGAGAAAAGAAAAAGAAAGGGGCCTGGCAGAGGGAGAGTGAGCACGCCAACTAACCCAAGGCAAGTCCAAAAGGGAAACGCATCAGTGAGATTTCCATCAAGCAAAACAGCAGGGAGGGAAAATAAAATAAAACAAGAGGGACGGTGGGAAGGAAGGAAGGAGATGCAAGGAGGCAAAGAAATAAATAAAGGGCTCTGGGAAATCAAGAGGAAATAATGGGGGCACTCTCACTTGAAAGGAATAAAACATGGGTAGTATTGGAGCAGGTGCCCCCATGGGAACCACAGTCTGCCTTTAATGTCTCTAATCATCAATCTCTTTCTAATTATTAACTCCTTTCTCCTCCCCCAGCCTTTAGTTGCTTAAGCACACACATGAACTGGTGGTTTCCCAGGATGCAAATGAGCTTTCTTCTACATGTGAGAAAGCAGAGGATGGGGGAAATGGCAGATAGCTAGTCCATCTCTGAGCTCATGGTAAGAGAACAGAGAAAGCAAAAATGTCAAGTCCTATGGAATTTCCCAACAAAAGGGCCCCGTGATTGCCATTCTCTCCTTCTCAAACAATCCCACGCTCTGTATTAAATATCAACTGCCAAAAAAAGAGAAATTTACCCTGTTCCCTTTACATGCAATCTATCTATTATCTTTTGTAACCCCCACACATATGACATATGTATGATTGATAAACATGGAGGGGAGAGGACAGGTCAGAAAGAACCTTGAAGTTGATTAGGACAGCATGATAGCAATAATCATACATATTCCATAATACATTTAGAAAATACTCTGGCTAAAGTAATTTTTAGTACTATAATCAATGAGAAAACAATGTAAATAATGGTAGAAGTTGAGACTGAGATTGAGAACGAGACATGCCACCCACAGGGATGAGAGAGAGAGAGAGAGAGAGAGAGAGAGAGAGAGAGAGAGAGAGAGAGAGAGAGAGAGAGAGAGAGAGAGAGAGGACATGGTTTCAGATATTATTAAGCACTTAAAAAATCTTCTGAGTGTAATGGAAAAGTATCAAATGTAAGTTTTGTCATCAACCATTTACCATGACTGTTGTTCCATTTTCTGTTCCAGTTTTTCAAATGAAAGGGAGTATGCATATGCTGAAAAAGGGCCTATTCAGCTTTTTCAGTCACTCTGTAAAGGTCTCTGTAAAACTAATTCTATACTAGCTATATTAGAAGCAAAAAACCAAACAGAATTTCTTCCTTAATTCCAGCCTCAGGAGTCTGATCTATCTGAGAAATTTGAGGCAGTTTCCTCTATTTATATATAACTCTTCAGAATACTAATTCATAAAACAGGCTCAGAATGAGAAACAAATAAACAATAGATTTGACAAGACAATTATCTACTCCCTTAAATTCACCCATATAAATAGTAGGTGAAACAGGATGAATAATTCACTCACCATGTTCTAGAATGTATTTTACAATCTCACCATGCCCAGTCTTTGCTGCATGATGAAGCAAGGAACAGTGGTCAGGACCCCAGATTAATAGATTAGCTCCTTTTTTACACCATTCTACAAACTGGAATAGAGAGAAAAAATGTAATTATTCAAAATCATCACTTCATTTCAGTACCAATATTAGAGAATATTTGTAACTCAGGGCTGGATTGTGGGTTTCTTGGTGCTCTCTGAGCTTAGTTGTTTTCCTGCAGACTTTCATTACCGAACTAGGTAATATCATCCATGCTGGCCTAAACGAATGTACTCAGCTGCTTGTTTATCAAATGCAGCCAAGTACAGATTCCTAGAGATAGAGGAAAGACAAGCTACTGGTGCAGAATGGAATGAAGGAGCATTTTACTTTTCTTTGACTGGCCACTATTCTCTTTTCATTTGCTGAGGTCAGTCAAGGTCAAAGGTACAATCCCATAACTGGACACTTCTTTTTTTTATCCAAGATCAAAATGGCAGCCTTTTCCAACCTGGTGGCCATTCAAGGTGGGAATTTTGGATGCAACAGTCTCAACATATCTTGAAATTTGTAGGTTGGAGAAATCTGTGAATTATGGCTTGGATAGATTTTGTAGGGTGATAATTTGTGATGGAAATTTATCACCACTGTGTCTCCATCTACTCAGAGTTATAGATCAGGGGAATGAATGAGTTGAGAAGGCCTCTTTCAAGCACCAGCAAGACAGTAGAGCTGAGAAGAAATAAGAATACTCCTAACCTATGCACTGGACAACTTGCCTGAAACAAAACATATACAAAAATTTACACTGGAAAAAAAATTAAATCTGAAATAAGTGTGATCTGCCAACCAGAAAAACATAATCTTTGAATTGAACTTCAACTGCTCCAAAACAAAGGATAATTACTGGGGGGAGGGGTATGGAATCCTCTCCCTTTTTCACTTTGGCATTAGAGAATACCGATCAGACTTGGTTTCCTGGAACTTGTTTAATAAATGAACTGCATTCACAGCAAATACTGAAATTACAATGAAGTGCAAAGGAGAGCAGATAATGTACCATTAGTTTGGTTATATATCAAATCATGAGACAACAGACTGTGGTGCACTTTGCTTATTCTGGCAGCTACTTGAATCTTACCTAAATTCTAATGCTAATGGTCTTTGAAGTTACAATGATACTAAAATTCCAAGGTATTTGTGATTGTTCATTCAGCATTAGTTCTCTTTTTTTAAGATTAGAAAGGTATTTCAGAATAAAGAAATGAAATCCTCTCAAACAGAGGTTGGCACTTCAATGGGATTGCATTCCAAAATATGGGTAGGGACAGCTCAAATAAATGAACAGAGTACAAAAGTTGGCTTGAAACATTAAGAAAACCAAGATCATGGCATCTGGCCCTCTCAATTCCTGGCAAACAGATGGGGAAAAAATGGAGGTAGTGACAGATTTTATCTTCCTAGGCTCCAAGATCACCACAGATGGGGACTGCAGCCAAGAAATTAAAAGACGCTTGCTCCTGGGGAAGAAAGCTATAGCAAATCTAGACAGCATACTAAAAAGCAGAGACATCACCCTGCTAACAAAAGTGTGTATAGTCAAGGCCATGGTTTTCCCAATTGCAATGTATGGCTGTGAAAGTTGGACCATAGGAAAGGCTGAGCTCCAAAGAATTGAGGCCTTTGAACTATGGTGCTGAAGAAGACTCCTGCGAGTCCCCTGGACTGCAAGGCAATCAAACCAGTCAGTCCTAGAGGAGATCAACCCCGACTGCTCCTTAGAAGGCCAGATCCTGAAGTTGAAACTCAAGTACTTTGGCCACCTAATGAGAAGGAAGGACTCACTGGAGAAGAGCCTAATGCTGGGAAAGATTGAGGGCAATAGAAGAAGAGGATGACAGAGAATGAGGTGGCTGGATGGAGTCACTGAAGCAGTAGGTGTGAGCTTAAATGGACTCCAGAAGATGATAGAGGACAGGAAGGCCTGGAGGAATCTTGTCCATGGGGTCGGGATGGTTTGGACATGACTTCACAACTAACAAAAAGAGACAAAAAAAAACCCTAAATTGGATGTTGTTATTTAATCACATTGAAAGCATCAATATGATTATTGTCGTGTATCTATTGACTAAGAGCTATGTATCTAAGACTGAGGTGTAATGGTTAAGATACGAAGGTGGAAATCAGGAAACTATGAGTTCTAATCCTATCTTAGGCACGAAGCCCACTGGGTGTCTGAGTTAGTTACATACTGTCTATCCTAGGAAGGAGCAATGGCAAACCACCTCCCAAAATAGTAAAAACTGCAAAAATTTGCCCAAGAAGTTGCTAGAAGATAAGATTGTCTGAAATATATATGTGTGTGTGTGTGCCTTTCTCATGTATAGCATGGCAACAAGGAATGATAAGAATTACAAAAGTAACAAAGCATAAGCATTATAGGAAATGTATTACAAGATTTAGGATCATACTCATCACAGGACCTTTCATTCCAGTCAGATGCATTAACAACACATAATGTGTCCTTGCAAAACTAAAGTTAATTTGCATTTGTTAAACATCTTTATCAAAGCTCTGGATGTTTTTAAAGGGAGGCTTCCTGTTTGCTGCCAAATGCTTTTCCTAATAGATGTGGTTGTATGTTGCTATGGTGACTGAACTGGGAGAGGTTGGAGACAATTTCTAACTGGCTCTGATAAGAAGACTCTACAGAGAGAAAAATTGAGGTAACCCTAGTTAGCATCTTCCAGGTTGTTTATTGAATTTATATCTAGCAGTTCATATGCGGCTGTCATAAGTATCTGGAAAACATAGTTGTTTAAGAAGCACAAGGTTAAATCAATTTTATAAAAGTACAGCCTGTAACTCTGAGCTGCCTTCATGATAGAGGGGGAAAAAAATAGGCAAAAGAAATTGTTTCATTCTTCCTGTAAGAATCAAGCCAAAAAGAAAATCCTAACTATTTTTTCTCCAGGCAGAGGAAACCAGAGAAGAGCTATCACTATTCTAAAGCCCACTAGCGGTCACTGGCTAAAAGATACAAGGAATTAATGTTTCTGAAGCTATATCCCAAAACTGGATACGATCCAGGAACAGAATGCTGAATTTTTTTGGGGGGGAGGCAGGGTGGATAAGAGAAGTTAAGGACTGCCAGAAGACAGCACAAGGAGACTGTTCCCACCAAGTGTTCCCATAAGGATTTGAGAATTGCAACAACAGGAAAACACCACACTTGCTATGGTTTCTAATAATCTGGAGTAAAGTCCAAAATAAATCATCTATGCTACCTAAAATGAACAATATTATGAATTCTAAGAGAACTGGAATTGATCCCAATGTAGGGCAAAACAGTGATATGGAAGTATCCTGAATGTCACCATATGGTGTATAAAAACAAATTGTTAGTAACACATATTATCAAAGAAATATATAGCATGATAACTTCTTTTACTTACTCTTAGAAAATCGCCAGCTATTACTGATTGTAAAAGTGCTGCAAAGACAAAAGAAGATATTATTAACATTCATACTTATTCCTGACAAAAGAGGCATTTATTTCTCTTGATTATGTTAATTGAATATATTCTGGAGGTTGATAATCTACAGACATGATCATCCAAGGATTTTTAACAGTGCATTTTGAGGCTTATATTAGTTTGCGTTTAAATTAACTGATTTGTTTGATTTGAATTCAGCAGGAGTCTTTAACAGAATAACAAAGTTGGAAGAGACCTTGGAGGTCATCTAGTCCAACCCCCTGCTCAGGCAGGAAACCCTATACCATTTCAGACAAATGGCCTTCCAGTCTCTTCTTAAAAACTTCCAGTGTTGGAGCATTTACAACTTCCGGAGGCAGGTTATCCACTGAGTAATTGTTCTAACTGTCAGGAAATTTCTCCTTAGTTCTAGGTTGGATCTCTTTTTGATTAGTTTCCATCCATTGTTTCTTGTCTTGCCTTCAGGTGCTTTGGAGAATAGCTAGGATTCCAAGATCTGTCTCACAGTTACTACTATTGAGCCAGGTATCACCTATGCTGTATCTGTGCATTTGGTTTTTCTTGCCTAAATGTAGAACCTTACTTTTTTCACCATTGCATTTCATTTTGTTAGATAACAATATTCAAGTCTGTCAAGATCCTTCTGTATCTTAAGCCTATCTTTGTTAGACAATAAGCTCTTGAACATAAACTGGGCATGGAAAGAATACTTTGTAAGTAAAAGTAATTACCAATAATATAGTAATATAGTTGCCCTGAGTGCAGAGTATGGGCCCAGCTAATGCTAATAGACATTCACTATACTTAAAGTAAAAGCTAGATTTTAGTAAGACCTAACTTCTCCCTCTCTCTCTCTCCCTCTCTCTCTCTTTCTCTCTCTCTCTCCCTCCCTCCCTCCCTCCCTCCCTCCCTCCCTCCCTCCCTCTCTCTCTCTCTCTCTCTCTCTCTCTCTCAGAACTATTGTCAAACTATTCTCATTATCAGATTTGTTTTTGTAATATTCAGTGCATTCTGCCTTCCCAAGAACTTATTATTCTTAAACTCTGGAACAGTAAAGGATAGGTGTTAATATTCTGACATTCTTGAGTACTTGTGCTACCGTATCCTCCCCAGTCTTCTTTTCTCATGACTAAAGGTGTCCATCTCCTTTAATTGCTTTTCATAAGATGTTATTTCTCATTCCCTGATCATCATCACTAGCCTTCTTTGAACCTATTCCAGGTTCTCAATTAATTCTATAAGCAGATTATAAACCATGTAGGCTGGGAATTCACACAAAGTAAATTCACTCAAAATGTATAAAGAAGAATTTAGTGGCAATTTTTTGTTACTTCTTCTTAGCAATGTCATATAGATTAAAATTGTGCCAAAGTCTGTCCTTCAATTTATCAAAAAAAATTTAGAACAGGTATTTTTTTCCAACCTCAGTGTCAGAGAGAATTATCCAATCTTTTTTAGAATTTATTTTCTGTCTTTTTTTTCTAGTTTCTTGCTGCCAAAAGTATTATTGTGTAGTTTTGATTCATTTTCCCTATTATTCTACAGGCTTCCCAACTGCCTTGCTAAAAAAAAAAAATTATGAACATCCCTCATGATATCTTTCTTTGTGATCAAATGAAGGCTGAAATGTTGGAGGAATAGGGCATTCAATTATACACCTCTTAACCACTTCATCAAATAATAATAGTATATGAACTCCATAGCCCACCATAATAATTTCACTAAAGTATTTTTCTGCTTTGAGCAATAATCAAAACATGTTCTTCATCAAATGACAATATTAGGAAATGCAGAAAAAAATCCAGTGAAGTATTATAACAGATTAATTGGAGGAGTAAATCCAGAGATAAGAATTCAGTGCTGAAAATCTACGGTCTCATCTATAAATTCTACTCATCCCTATGAGATGTTCTTTCAACAAGCTGAGCATAATAGTGTGCTGAAACTAGGGAGAAAAGTCATATATATCACTGATAGAATTTTTCACCCTGATAGCTGAGTAATTTCAATTATCTTGCAAGCAGTGACCTCTAGGTTAGATCATCTTTTTTGGTAAAGTCCAACGGCCAGAATCTAACCATGCTCCACAATATATAATGTCTGTAGGTTTCAGGGAAGATAACCTACCTAAAAGAATTATGCTGGTCTTTGACCATAATAAAAGTTTGATTTAATTTGATTTGATTACCTAAGAGAACAGTTCTAAAGGCAAACAGGAGGTCATGAAAATGGTATGAGTATGTCTGAATCTCTCTGATAATATCAGAAAGCTACAACCACTAGAATGCAATTCTTTCAGTCAGATTTGGAGTGACCAGATCGTATTTACTAGGACAACGGGTTACTAATGGTGCAAAGAGTGAAAGAGGATTTTACATGTGCACATAAAATTGGAATATGAAATTTGAGATGCATGAACCAAAGGAAACCCGACATTGTTGAAGAGGAAATGAAGCATACTAAACTAGAAGTTTAGGAGTGCAATAAGTAGATTTAAATAGATGAGACATTTTAAAGCAATTATTCATGGCATGACATCATGTAAGGGAAGGGAGTGATAAGGATTCTGAAAAATGGCATAGCTAAGTAACTGATCACCCAATAAATAAAGACTCATATTTATTAGATATAATGAGTATCTATCAATGCTCTACTAGTGTATGATCCCCAGTTATTTCTTTTGGGTATTTTGTGGATTTTGATGTTAAAGAAACTATTTTAATGTTGAATTTAATAACAGCAGCAAGATTATCGGTGGATCAATATTGGAAGAAGGATACTCTACCTTCTTTAGAAGAATGGGTATTTAAGGTTTCTAATTTAGCAGAAATGGCCAAAATTTCTGCTTATTTAAAGGACCATTCACAAGAGAGATATTTCAATGTATGGAGAAGATGGATAGAATATGTTCAGAAGAAGTATGGAACTACAAAGTTTCATTTATTTTATGAGTAATGAATTTGTTTATAAACTTATGATGTTAAAGTTTGAAGAGAATTAAGGGTTAGTATGATTTTGGTTATTGTATAATTAGTAAACTTAAATAGATTATGTTTGGTATATTTGTATAACCCTGTACTTAGCTCTGGGAAGTCAGGGGGGTGGGGGTGGGGGAGGGGGGTGGGGGAAGGATGGGTTGAAATTTTAGTAATTCAGATAAGTAGAAATAGTTTTATTGTATATAATATTGAGGTTTCAATTTGGAGAGAGGAATTGCTCGGGCATTTCCCCCGGACTGCATCCGGAGTGAGAGGATAGAAGGAGGTGAGAAGTAAGTAGGAAGGTGGAGGAGAGGGGGTGAGGGAGAAAGAGAAAGAAGAGGGAAAGAGGCAAGCTGATTAGAGGGTAGATGCGGTTGGGGGGAAATGGGTGAGCAATACCAAAAATGGTGTGTATTAATTTGTTTTATTTTTTATCTGAAGTATTTTTAAGATTGTATTGTATTGCAAAATTGAAAATAAAATTTTTTTACAAAAAAAAATACTCTACTAGTGTATGTATCTAGTATAGATGCAACAATTGGAGACTTTCAGGAATTCTATGGCAAATTGCAAAAGCTAATTTTCTACAACATTAAAACCAAAGAAGCGAATACTACTAGTGGCTGACTGAAATGGAGGAACTTGGAATTACAAGAAATTTGGCATGAGCAAAACTACAATGAGGAGACATTTTTATTGCTAATACTTGTTTTACGCAGCATAAACGCATGGACATCATTGGATGCACAACACTAGAATAAAACTTAATAGGAAACAGATGATGGAGAAATAAATTGCAGTCAGCCAGGATGGTTCCAGGTGCAGATTGTAGAACAGATCATGCATTATTGGTGTCAAATCCTTTGGTTAAACTTGTTAAATTAAAAAGAAAGACTATGGCATATAGATTTGATTTGGAGGACATACAGTCAGGATATAAGTTCATTTTTAAAAAAACCAATTCAGTATACTTAAGAAGTTATAGACACAACTAAGAAACATCATAAAAACTGAAGTGAGGGGGGGAAATCCCTAAAATTCAAGAGGAAAATGATACAAGAAGATTTCAGAATAAACTATTATGACAGTTAAAGAAAGATGTAAAGATAATAAAAAGTCTTGAGCAAGGAAGATGTATGACAACTGAATGCAAACCTACAACAAGGGGAAAAAATAGGCAAGGAACTATATCTCAGCCAAGAATATGAATAAGTAGAGAACAATAGTGCAAAATGGGAAATAAATAAATATCCCAGGAAAATTGAAAGCTAGGATAGGAATATGCAGAAGTAATCATGGAAAACATCTAATAGAAATCAAAGTTTTAAAAGAAAATGCATGACAATATTAAAAAAGAAAAAAGGAAAGGGTTGGAATAAGAGCAGAGGTATCTGCTCTGGGTCAAGGGCGTGTCTGAAGTCTTGCCCGTTTTATGTATCATGACAACAATGAAGGAAAAAGAGGGCTTTATTATCCTGCTGCAATTGCCATCATGACTATTCTGACATCCCAACATCCCTGAATGACAGAAACTTTTGTAGAGAGGGGAACCAACTCCACACATCAGGTAGAACTAGCAATAGATCAATTATGAAATAAGAAAGGACCAAGTGCAAATGAAATGCCCACTGAATTGTTCAAAACTGCGAGAGAAAAATGTCTGTCAATAAATATAGAAGAAGACTAGAGATTGGAAAATCATGCCAATATCAAAGAAGGGAATGTATGAGAATATTCCACTAATTCTTGATTATTTGCCATCAAGTCATTTTCAACTCCTAGTGACCACATAGACAATTTTTCTCCAAGACGAGCTATCCCAGAATTCCCCAACCTTTCCGCCTTTGTGGAAAGGACAGGGAGGGAAGGACAGGGAATGGTTCTGCCTGAGTGGTGAGCAAGCACACGTGTCTGTGCGCAGCTCCTTTGTACCAGCAGTGAGCACGTGCGCCCATTGCTCATGCAAATGGAGCACGCACACACATGCTCATCCACTGTTCACGCAAGAGAGGATG